TGGGACATACTAGTTAGCCTGACATCTCAACTCTTCATTCCACAATTATCAAAACTTACCTGGCTCCTCTTCCCCACCCCTACTCCAAACAGTATAACAATTCCCTCTGTGATCCCTTAACACTTTCCCCATACCTTAACTATATATCCATATCTGTGTGTGTGTGTGTTTCTGAACACATACACATACACATTTAGCATGTTATTTTTATGTGTGTGTGATGCTGAGGTTCAAACCCATGTTCTCATGCATGCCAGGCAAGCATTCTACCACTGAGCTACATCCCCAGTTCCTATGCATTAGATGGTGAATGTTAGAATTCACATTGGCCTCAATAATGCAAACTTTTTAAGGGCATATATTGGACCATTGCTATATTTGTACCTCCAATACCTATGGGAGTGCCTAGCTTTTAGTAGAAACTCAATAAATGGAGAAAAAAAAAATTGAGGCAATATATAGGAGTTAAAGCTATTCAGCTCCCTTCCCCTCTCATTTCCACAACTGTTCACCAAAAGTGACCACTGTTAACAGTTTGATGTATTTAATGTTATTACAGCTAGCATTTCCATATAGGGTTCAGGTTTATGATATGATAGGATTATATTTTTATACAATGAGTGTATACACCTCCTTTTTCTCTCTTTTGCTTATCAAAGTATACTTCATATACAGGAATCCTAATGACTTGATGCATTTTTATATTTATAGATTCATGCAACCACCTCCCCATGCCAAGATAGAGAACATTTCCATCAACCCAGAACATACCTCTTGAATTTTCTATAATGTCTCCCTCCCCCTTGCACGTAAATATGGGTCTGACTTATATCAATATTATAGTGATGTGATCAAAATGTTTTTTCCCATGGATAGTCTGAAGGTGGATTGCTGCTACAGCAATCTATCTATTCATGATTATTGAGCACCCCCTGTGCACCAGACTTTGTTATAAAGACCTAAAGTGACACCAAGAAACATTGGCCTAGGGGACCAGAATAGTAAAAGATATGGCTCTAGTCATCAGGGGTCTTGAGAATAGTTGTTGGGAAAAGGTGAATGGAGAAGGTAGGTGGGGGTATGGGTGCTGTCAAGACTAGTGGACCCTTAACCAAAGAATTGGAGAGGAGGGAGGGAGGGTACACAGGCCTCTGTGAGAATTCAGTTCATCTGGTCAAGATTGTAACTAGTTCAGGCTAGACAGCAAAAGGACTTTGATGCCTACAGGCTAGAGTGTGTGTATTTATTTTGAGATGAAGAGTTATCCAGTGGATTTGAGGAAAAATGAGGCAAGGTTGTTATCTATCTCTGTGCCTGTTCGATTATTATTATACAGCATTCCTTGAAGTGGGCTGGGGAGATGGGAAATTGAAAGGTGGGGGAAACCCAGAAGTCATAGTTGAAGTTGCCTAGTTTTGCATTAATAAGCTGGTTGCTTGAAAGTGTTTGGCCTTGGCATGGGATGGGAGTGGTGGCAGGAGGCAGGGAGCAGAAAAGGAGAGGGCAAAGTTTGTATTTTCAGTTTGCCTTTGCATCGAGAAGCTAATTTGAATGGCTTAGAACATGGGGTTCTCAGTTTCAACAGAGTGACCAAATCAGGCAGCTGCTTCATGTCTCACGAAGAAATTGCTTTCTGGGGAAAGGCCAGATGGAAGGACCCTCTGTTTGGCGTAGAGGATGTGAAGAATGGAACCCAAAACTTTGTAAACATGGCCAGACCACTTTCACCAATAGAGTGTAAATGAATGATCCAGGTAGATCCTTGGTACATGTACCGGGAGCTTAGAACACATTATCTCCTGAGTACAAGGTTGTAAATGATGATTAACTGCCCAGAGTGTGGGGAGCCACATTGAGTTACCACCCCTTCCAGTCCTGATGCACCACGGGGATCTGAAAGATGACTGTAGTCTGGCGCGATGGTGCCATGATTCGTGACTTGGTCTTTCCCCCTGCTCGGATAGCAAGGCCATCTTCTGAGTAGGCATAACCCTGGGTTGAGCTACACTCAGCTATTCTTTTGTAATCCTACCACTTTGCCCTGTTTGGGATAGAATGTTCCATGGAAACTCCCTTTGTGTGTCTCCTTCTCTTGCTCTGCCTTTGGGTGTGGCATTCCTAGATGTCAGTCAATCTGCTGACAGCAGACATCATGAAGCTAGACTCATTCCCCTTGAAACCTGACCCCTTGCCTCATTTGAATGGCTTCTCCCCAGTAAAAAAGTTCAGCACTGCTCTCTCACTCTCTCTTTTTTCCATGGATCCCTAAGGTCAGAGGAGCCATCACAGGACCCAAAGAAAAAGTTATTTTTCTGTCTCTGTGTGATTATTTTGTGCAGCCCAGTTCACCTGGAGTGACCCTGAGTGTTAAGTCCTGAGATGGGAAACCAGAGCTTTCTTCCCCAGGAAATCCTTTTTAACCCTTAATGGTCAATTAACCATAGAACTATTGTGTTTATGGGTTGGGGGTACAGCTTACTCTTAGGGGTGTACTCAGTGGTAGAGCACTGGCCTAGCATGCTCTGAGGCCCTGGGTTTGGTCTCCAGCATTTGCAAAAAGCAAAAAGCAAAAACCAAAATATTGTGTGTATTTTTGTTTCTGGTACTGATAAATGGGTTTGGGTTTCCAACTTGATTTATTAAAAGCACATCCTCCCAGCTTCTTCCTCACAACTTCCAGCAGAGACAGTGAGGGGCTGAGATGGCAGAGGAGGTTGGCATGGCTCTTCCAATATGGCAGTTTTTCATCTATGTAGATTGATTTTTATCTACACTTTTAAGCACAGTATCTATGAGCTATGTGTGAACTTGAAAAGGTTGCTAGTCTGTAAGTGGATGCCCTACCAAATAATGTAAAATTTAATATTTCGAATATATTGAGCTAAATAAATTATGTTTTTTTTTTTTAGTTTGGTACCAGGGATTGAACCCAGGGGTGCTTAACTACTGAGCCACATCCCAAGCCATTTTTTTATATTTTATTTGGAGACAGGGTCTCACTAAGTTGCTTAGGGCCTCACTAAGTTGCTGAGGCTGGCTTTGAACTCCTGATCCTCCTGCTTCCACCTCCCAAGCCATTAGGATTATGGGCATGTGCCACTGTGCCTGGCAATAAATTAGGTTATTAACATTGCTTGTTTCTTTTGCTTTTTTTTTTTTTTTTTTGATCCAGGTCTCCCTCTGTTGCCCAGGCTGGCCATGATCTCCTGAGTTCAAGAAAACCTCTCACCTCAGTGGCTCAAGTAGCTGGGATGATAGGCACGCTCCAGCATGCACACTTTTTACTGTTTTAATGTGATTGCATGAAAATATAAAATTACATACATGGCTTGCACTGTATTTCTGTTAGACAGCAATGTTGGTCTATATTCTTTCAGAAGGTATTTTCTGATATTCATGCCCTAGAATTTGTTTCTGAGGGAGGATCCTTTTGAAGTTCTGTTTAAAATGAACAATACCATAAAGGACTCATTTATGCACTAAAGGTTATCATACAGTTCAGAGTTAAAGGCTTGATAACCCTTTGCCCTGGGGCAGAATATGAAAGCATCCTATTCTTATTTGTATTGAAAGCCAGTTTGTTGCTTAGACTTTTGGATCCAGTTGCTGATCCAACTGGTTGAGTTAGAAGTCCCCCCACCTCTGGGTTAAATATGACAAGAGTATATATGTGAACTAATCTAACTGAGGTAATTAAGAATTCTGTTCATAAAACATGGTCATTGGTGGCAGTACATTTTTCCAGCTTTGGGTGTTACTAGAAATATGTAACATGTCCCTTTTAGATTTACTTAGCTACCTTGCCCAAGAATTCTCCAGAACAACCTTTTTTCAGGAAAAGTAGGATAAATAATAAATTCTCCAGTTTGGCATAATGTTAACCCCAGGAAACAAAGAGGAGTTTGTATCATTGTTCTTACTGCAGGCTTTTTTGATGTTCCTAGCAGAGCCCTCTTTGTCTTATCACAGGAAGTCATCAGTAGCATTAAAATGACGGGGAGGTCCAGTGGACAGGAAGGCTCCCAGGATTCTTACTGCTGGTGTTAGTCAACTTCCTTGTGGGATTTCCAGGAGTGTGTCTTTGTATTTTTTTATTACTATAATTGCTCCTATGTAAGGAATGACTAATTGTGAAGCTGGATGGAAATACAGATAGGGTAATAAATAGTCACATAAGAGGTGAGAGAGGTCAGCGCTGTAGCTCAGTGGGAGAGAGTTTGTCAGGCATTCCTAAGGTGCTAGGCTCAATGCCCAGTGCCAAAGAGGTGGGGCCATTTTATAGTCCTAGTTTTGCATCCTTCTAAGTCCTATCTTGGAGTCAAAGGTGTTATCTGACTTTTATAGCATACCCTGTATTTCAGATATGAGATAACTTGTATCTGCTTCCTTGTAATCATGAATGATCATATAATTGGCTTCTAATAATAACAGCTGACATTTATTGATAAATGTTTATGTACAGGGCAGTGTGCCAATGAACATAAAGTATTATTTATTTTATCTTCCCCATCAGCTTATGTTGTTATAGGTACTATTATTATCACCATTTAATTGACAAGGAAGAGGTTTTATCTGGGGCTTGGACCTATCCCAAAGACTTAAGTAATTAACCACTTCACTTTTTCTATAAATTGTGAAAGGACATTTGTTTTGATATCTTCTCCCAGGTATTTTTTATTACCATATGTCCTGAAACCATCACTTTTCAGAGTCATCATGCTATTATTTATAGCTGCATTTAATATAACTGTGTTTGGTAATATAGCAAGCATTCCATGGAGAAAAATTATTAGTACCAGCATTATTTTTACTATTTCTCTGGCTATTTCTGGGTGAATATCATTGTGCCTTTATTTGCAAAACACTTCTGCATTTTGGTGGGGGGATACTGGGAATTGAACCCAGAAGCACTCTACCACTGAGCTACATCCCCAACCCTTTTTACTTAATATATATATATATATATATATATACACACACACACACACAATACATTTATTTTATTTTTATGTGGTGCTAAGAATCGAACTCAGTGTGTCATGAGTACTCTACCACTGAGCCAAAGCCACAGCCACCCTTTTTACCTTTTATTCCGATACAGGGCCATGCTGAGTTGCTGAGGCTACCTTGAACTTGCAATCCTCCTGCCTCAGCCTCCTAAGCAGCTGGGATTATAGCTGACATCACCATGCCCTGCTACACTTCTGCCTTTGATGTCCCACAGTTATGCCCTTACTGGGAGTTGTTGATATTCTGAGTTGATGGAGTTTCAGATTGAGTGTATATGTTGGCAAAAGTTGGGGTGACCTGGTGACTGGGCTGAGTGGGCCCTATAGGAAGAGTGGTACGCTTCTAAAAGTAACTGGGTAGTCCTTGACTATCTTGTAGCATCAAAAATTGAAATGTCATTCCCATTTTACTAATCTCCTGATAAATTTTTTTTTCTGTGTGGAAAAGACAGGTCTATACACTCCTCAGTAGCTATTTAAGCTTATTTTAACTCACAGGCTGTGGCTGAGGCAGGCATTTCTTTTAAGACCTGGATGTACCATACTGTGTCTTAGAGTTTTATATGCCTCATTTTCTGGTGTGGTTCTCATTTTGCCAGTATCTCCCACCGTCTCCTCCAGCAAAATCTGTCATAGCTAGATGGCTTTCCACTCTACCGTTTAGTTAGATGGCCTACAGTAGAGAGGTGGATTCAGAAAAGAAACATAGATGCTGTCAACTCAACACTGGGGTCCTACCTAGGGAAATATTACATGAAGGCTTTTGGTGTGATGTGTAACACGTTTGTAGAAAAAGTAGAGTTCTGTATCCCAAGCCATATTCACTTGATGATACTATTCATTGACACCTGTTGCTCTTGTCATTGCTTAGATTTTCCCCTTTAGTTTGAATAGTTCAGTGAACTAAATAACAAGAGCCAAGCTCTGGATTTGAATGTTATAGAACCAAAGCCTCCAAACATTATTGTTTTTGTTTGTACAACTGAGGAATAGTCCCATTGAGAAAAGTAAATATGATTTATTAAGGTCTTAGGGTTTACTGTAGGGCTTCTTGGGCAAATTTACTAATGTTTCTTCCACTTATTCTTGACTGCATTTGAAAATAGCTACCCCTTCCTTCCAGCAACTTGTTACCTCCTTTATTCTGTTTCCCCACCTCTCCCTTTTTATTCTTGCCCCATCTTCTAAAGTATTTCCCCTGATAAGTGCACCCCACCCTACTCATAGTTTCAAATATTTCATCTACACTGATGCCTCAACATTTTTAACTTTTCACCCAGGTTTCTCAACTGACTCTAGGTCAATCCCCCTGGCTATCTGTCCTACCATCAGCTCACAGTTAGACATCCTATGTCTGTAATATTACCATCTCTTCTACATCCCCAACTTTTAGTCACTCAGGATTAAAAGCAAAGTCATTATTTAGCTTTGATTCTTTCCTTGCATCTTCTTCTAAGGACCATCTCTCTTCCCTGTGAAATGTCTCCTACACTCATTCAACTCAATTTCTACTGCCATTACTTTAATCCAGGTCCTCATGTTTTAATGCTTTGGCCACTCTATCAACCTTCTAACAGATCTCCCAAGTATTCCCCAAACTCCTACTCTCCACTCACACCAACTGACACCAACTGCTCACTTTCCACAAAAGCTGGTTCCATCATATCACCCTCCTCACAAATCTTCAAAGACTCCCCTTGCCAATAGGGTCAAGTCTAAATTGCTCAGCTTGGCATTCAGAGCTTTGGAACTGCTCCATGTGTTTGTATAAACTTATTCCCATCATTTATGTACCTACACTTTAGACAGACCTGTCTTTTCTACCTGTGAGTGTGCCTCCCCACTCTTGATGACAGCCCTTAGAACAAAGGAAAAAGAGATCTAGAGCCAGGAGTTGAAGGCCTGGGTTAGGAAAGGAAGTGAACTCACAGCATCCCATTAAGGCTGTGACTTGAGGGGGAAGCTGTGACAGAAGGTGCTCTAAAAGTGCCATTATAATGATGAGAAGTTGCAGAAGGAATGGGGGAGGGAGCTGGAGTATGAACTTTATTGGTTGATTAGCCTGAATTAGACAAACAGGGTTTCATTTAAATTGGCCTGAAGTTTCTTGGAGGCACTGCTATTTAATCCCATCTCTCTTTGAATTTCTGTCTCCTAGGAAGACAGGCCACAGAAGTAGGCAGCTGACTATAGGATTCTAGGGAATATCCAGCATTTAATACAGATTTGGCACTGAAAAGTTAGGGCTCCTTTCTGTATCTATCTTTTTTTTCTTTCCTCCCTCCCTGCCTCCCTTCCTTCTTTAGAATTCAGGGGCATTTAACCACTGAACCACATCCCCTTCCTGTATTCTTTCTTAAATTAGAATGCTGGTGATGTACAGAGGAAAATTTCCATTTTTCTTGAAATCTCACACAGATGCATAGACATCAAAAACTCCACTTCATAGTGATGCTTTTGAGCTGTATGTTAGAGGCAGATTTAGACCATTGCTGGGTACTTTTAATAAGTGGCCATAGTAACCCTTTCAGGTAGATCACACCATCCACTGCCATGTCATATGGCAAGCTGTCTTGCTTTGGCAGCTCTGTAGAGAGTGCTAGACTGGAAGGCAGTACAATTATACACATGACCTCAGGCAAGTCACTTAACCTTTTATGGTGTCAGTTTCCTCATCTGTTAAATGAAAGGATTAGACTGGATTATTTCGATTATTTCCTTTTTTCCAGTACAGGACCTTTCCAGTGGTCCTGTACTGGAAAAAAGTATAGGAGAGATTGTATAACTGAAAGGCAGGAAGTGGAATAATTGAGGATTAGAATTCAGGGTAATTTCAAAATTACTTTAAACTTCAAAAAACAGTTCCTAGATGTGCTTAATGTGCATATCACACACTTAGCAGTTAAATGTGTAATTGTCACCCTGTCTTAACAATGTTGTTTCCACTAACAAATGTTAGGTACAGAGTCCTACTGATGATTACTTTGAAGTAATGGACAGAGTGACTAATTTTGTTTTTCTGTTGAGATTTTCAGAAATTAACGTATTCCTTTTGTCATGTAATAAACAGCTCATAAAATGTTTTGAGACTTTAAAAAAATAATTAGTTGGGCTGGAGCTGGGGCTGTGGCTCAGCAATAATGCACTTGCCTGGCATGTATGAGGCACTAGGTTCAATTCTCAGCACCACATATAAATAAATGAAGTAAACATCTTCAACAACTAAAAAAAATTAGTCTAGGGGAAAGAGATACTGTCTAATCTTTAGAAATTCCATAAGTGGTCATTCTGCTACTTCTTATTTTCAACTCTTTTTTCAGTGTTTAGTTGGCTTTCTTCTCCCTATGCTTTTTTTTTTCTCCAAGCCCACCTTTGTTAATTTTTATTTTGCCATGTCATATGGCAAGCTGTCCTACTTTGGCAGCTCTGTAGAGAGTGCTAGACTGGAAGGTATAAAAAGAAAAAAAAGTATAAAGACTTTTATTAAAAGTCTCATATTAGAAGGCAAATATTAAGCAAATGTGCATATAATCTGCACAGTACCATTTTTTTCCTGATAGTAGCTACAACTGAAACAGTCTGGTGTGGAAAATGAACCCCCTCCTCACACACACAGTGATTAAACCAGGATCTCAAACATGCTGGGCAAACACTCTACCACTGAGCTACATCCCCCACCCCAGGGTAAAGGAAACTTAACAATTATATCCTACCAAGCTTTGTATTCTATGACATTTCTGCTGCAACAGCACTGCAATTGACTCTTGCACAGAGGAGAAAAGTTTCTAAAACCTATTGGTTTCTACATGTTAACATCCACTACTGAAAATCAAATTTCTTTTCATCTTACCATATTTTCCAGTGAACTTTTTTTTTTTTTGCTGGACTGGGAATGGAACCCAAGGCCTTGCATTTATTAGACAAGTGCTCTACCACTGAGCTGCACCCCCAGTCCTCCAGTAAACTCTGGAGAGTTGTGCTGCTTCCTACTTTTATTCAAATTCCTAGGGTAGGAATTGGAAAACTTCACAAAAGTATTTTGAAAATTTGCTATATTAATCTTTATGATCATTCAGCCACTGAAAACATTCATAGGTATTATATAGACAATGTGTGATGATGAACTGTGTCCATGGAATCAAAATGTGCATCATTTCTTTGCCAGGTTCACTTAAAATATGTGTTCCTATGAGCCTTTTTAAAAAATCTTTTTGTAGTTGTGTATGGACAGAATGCCTTTATTTTATTTGTTTATTTTTCCATGGTGCTGAGGATTGGACCCACTGCCTCACACATGCTAGGCAAGCACTCTGTCACTGAGCTAGAGCCCCACCCCCCTTATGAGTCTTTAATCATTTGCTGAAAAACAATTCCTAGGTCCTAGACTGTCAAACAAGTTTCTGTTATATATTAGATAACTTCTTAAGAATTTTTTTAAGTAGAAGACTCAAGTAAGGTAGACTTCTTTTATGTAATCTTGATTGATAATATTTCCTGAAGCACGTGAACAGAAATTGGTAGATTGAACCCCAGAATGATAGCATTTAGAGCTCACTGGGAGAAAACTCATTTAATCAAGTAAAATGGACTTTGCACGTTTTAGCAAGATCCAGACACCAAGAAGGGCCCATGGGGAGTGACTTTGACAAAAGGGAATCCAAGAGAACTGGATAGTTTTAAAACAAGAATTTTATAAGAAGAAACTATACTAGTACATATAAATTAAAGAATAGTGACATGCCTTCTGTGCCTAAAAATGTTATCAGTACATTGAGATACTTGATCAGTACTTGAGTCAAGTAAGAAAACTACAAAAAATGGAAAATCCAATCAGGCCAAATTACTAGAGTATTAAGGGGAAAAACTATGTCAGACAGGGTCAGAAAATATAAAAAGGGAGTTTGAAAAGGAGGTGCAAAAAGAAAGATAAGTCTATTCTTGTAATGGTAAAGCTTCTTCCTAACATGTTCTTCATGATTTTAATAACCTCCTTTAAAGGTGTAAGCATATTTTGAAAAGATTTTTTAACTTTTTAAGGTGATTCAGCTCTCAGTGTTCTATTAAGAGGGCAGGTAAACCTTGTCTTGTATCTATCACAATTGGAATCCATTTTAATTGCAAGAAGAAAATCCTTGCCATAGAAAAGTTTTTTTATAATAAAGAAATTTATACTTTTATGGAAGGCCATATTTCAATGTTAAAACTCTTAAAGTATTATTTTTTATAATGTCAAAGGTATGATTAGTAGAACATTAATGCAATTATACATCTGAAGTAATCTGCATTGCTAAATTTATTGTGAGTATTACTGAATGATTCTATATGTCACAGAGTGCATTTTAAAATCATTGATCCTTCAATTTCTACATGGAATCAATTATTTGAAGTTCAAAATAAAAACACAACAAAAGTAAAGAAAGTTTCACCTCTTGATCTTTTCTAAGCTTCTCTGAAATGCACATGTCTTTTGTGTAAGTATGACAATGTTTAAAAAGTTGTTTGTTATCTTAATGCCATAGAAAAGTTTTAACTTGCATAAATGTTCAGTAGAAGGCTAAGGGCAAAGATAAAGAGAAAAGTCATGTGTCTCCTTGGGAGCCAGTTGATTGGAAAAGCAGGACTTCTTATTTTTCACTTCATTCCATTTTACTAGTCAGTTTAACAACACAGGAACAGTTTGTAATGACAAAGATGTTAGAATGTTAAATTGAAGAAGAAAGGTAAGATACACTGTTAAAATTGATTTTTTCCAGTTGTCTTTGTTGTTGCAGAGCAAGTTTCCCCAAACTTATAGAGAGAAAATGAAAAAAGGAAAATAGTTTATCTTTCACCAAGATAATTAATGGCCCAGCTAAATTTAGACTCTCCAGCTTTAACTTGTGACATCTGGAAAAACAATCCAGTCTGTTATTCCTCTAGTTTATAACCATCTAGTAAGAAGCCCAAAGTCCAGAATAGCTCTCAAGGTGACCTTATGAAGGGCAAATATTATCAGGCTGATTTTATCTCCCTTAATAAAAGAGGTCTGTTGAGAAGGGAAAGTTACATATATTACCTGTGCATGTCAGTGACACCTGTTATTCCTTTATCACAAAGGGCTTTCTGACAAGCTGGGAAGACTTGGGCTGGATTGTCCCACTCTTCAGGGGAACATCCAAATAGGCTGAGGGGCAAGTGTGCCTCAAGTGGTCTGTGTAGTGGCTCAGCATCAAGTTGGGGGCACAGCAAGTGGTGCCTTCCAGGGAGTTCTCTCCCTGTTGTAATGTACAAGGATACCATTTTTGTAAAGATCCACTTCCAGTCCCTTTAAATAGCTACTACCCCAGAGAATCTTAGCTATTCAGTTATTTTTTTTTAATTTACATTTTTGTAAGGAGGACTTTAAGTACATTTTGTAAGGAGGACTTCTTGTGTGCAAAGTTAGGTGAAGCTGGCCTAAATTTCTTTTATCACTGGCCTAAATTTCTTTTATCAGTTAACTTGGAAGAGAAATTAATCATATGTTTATCAAACTTTTGCATTATACTCAAGCAATGTCAGCAGTATTTTGTACCCCCCCCCCATTTCAAATGACCTTTGGAGCAAGAGTGACAATTTTCAGAAAGGGCTCTAACACCCCTCCTACATCTTCTTCAAGGACAGTTGATCTGCTTTTATCTCTTTTACTTGCTTATTGTTCCTGGCAAGATTTTGATGAAGGAAAGAGTTCCTCATTTTTAAAAAGTAAAAATAAATAAAAATCAATGAATCTGAGAAATAGTCTGGCCAAAATGGGATGAAGTTCAAGAAGTCTTGTTTCGAAAAGTAGAAATATTGCAAAAAAATTCATCCCACCTTTGTATACATATGAGAGTTCAGCTACCTAATAGATGATGATGGGAAGATTCTTTACCAGTATTCCAGCTAGTAAATGTAAAAATATTTATAGAATTAGAACATAACACTCTTACAACCCTTAATGAAATACCAATGTACATGATCACCTTCATTGAATGCAGATATTTGACATAATAAGGCATATGGAAAATTTTATAATCAATTGATCAGTCTCCATAACACTTGAACCTAGTGATCAGTCAAAATGTCCCAAGAGGAAACAAAATTGGACATATAAGCTTCCTGGTAAGACTACAGGAATGAACAACACTTCATTTCAGGTACTTTTACCAAAAAAAAAAAAAAATCTGTATTTAGCATAGCCAATTAATCTAATGGAGACTTATCAGGGGAGAAGGGGTGTCTAAAGGAACATGATACTAAGATACAATCAGCAAAATCCACAATGCAGAACACACACGCAAAAGGTCCATATTCTTAAGCAAATAACATCAGAAGGAATGATGGCTAATTTTGTGTGTCAACTTCACGGGGCCACGGCGTGCCCAGACATTTGGTCGATTGTTGTTTTGGATTTTTCTGTAAGATGTTTCTAGATGATAGTAAATTTGAATTCGTGAGTTGAAGAAAGCAGTTTGCCCTTCCAGATGTGGATAGGCATATCTAGTCAATTAAATACCTGAATAGAACAAAAAGGCTGAATGAGAGGGAACTTTCTGACTGACAGCATGTGTCAAGATATCAGTCTTTCCTGCCTTCAATCCTGAATGAAAAATTGGCATTTGGATTAGAATTTATCTCACTGATTCTCCTGAATCTGCAGCCTTTAGAGTTGAACTCTTCAGTCTCCTAACCCATAGAATTTCTTTTGCTTATACCTTGCTGACTGCAGATTATGGGATTTCTAAGCTTTCATAATCACGTGAGCCATTCTTCATATCATACTCAAACTTCAGAAAATCAAAGATGAAAAGGATTTCAACATCACCAGAGGGAAAACCCATTACCTATAGAGAAGCAAAAATCCGAAGTACACTTGAATTCTTCTCATGAAAAAAGAAGGGAATGGAGTAAAATATTTAAAGGATTGAATAAAAATGCCATCAATCTAAAATTCTATATCCTATGAGACTATCCTTGTGAAGGAAAAAGGAAAAGAAGATTTTTCTTGGAAAAACAAAAGTTGAGGGAATACATTGCTAGAAAACCTGCCTTGGATGAGATATGAAGAGAAGTTCATAACTGTGTGTGGGGGTGCAAGCCTGGAATCCCAGCAGCTCGGGAGGCTCAGACAGGAGCATCACGAATTCAAAGACAGTCTCAGCAAACATGAGGCGCTAAGCAACTCAGTGAGACCCTGTCTCTAAATAAAATACAAAATAGGGCTGGGGATGTGGCTCAGTGGTCGAATGCCAGTGAGCTTAATCCATGGTACTCTCCCCCAAAAGAAGCTATTTAGAAACAAGGAAAGTTATCTTGGCCAGAAACTGAGATCCCTATAAAGAAAAGAAAATTAGAAAAAGAATATGTGAAGGTAAAATAGTTTCTGTTCTTATTTTTAATGATATAACAGATAATAGTGGGTTCAAAATAATAATAGCAATAGTGTTTTTGATTATGTATGTGTGTACATGTACCTATGATTGTGTATGCCTTTTTATTTAAATTAAACGTTTATTTTATTTATTTAGTTTTATGTGGTGCTGAAGATGGAACCCACTGCCTCATGCATACTAGACATGTACTCTACCGCTGAGCCACAACACCAGCCCTTGTGCATGTTTATGTATAAGTAAAATTAATGATAGCAATAATACCTGGGATGTGAGAGAGGAATTAGGATTATTCTGTTAATACAAGGTTAATTTCACTACCCCTGATTCAGTATGGAATTATCTGAAAGTATGATTAATAATTGTATCTTGCAATCTGTAGTGTAAACACTAAAAAAACAACAAAAATTATAATTGATACATAAGAAAGAACAAACATGTTAGCATATAAATACTCAAACCCATAAATAACAAAAAAAGCTCATGAGACAGAAATGGGAATGAAGAATAAGGGCAACAAATAGAGAACCAGTAAAAAAAAAATAGGTTTTAATGCAAACATATTATCACTTTGAATGTCAATGGCCTAAATACACCAAGTAAAAGATAGATTATCAGAAGGGATAAAAAAATCCAAACACCAAGAATATTCTGTCTATAAGAAACTCTATTAAATATAAAAATGCTTAATATTAGAATGATGTGACTTTATACCCCTTTTTAATTTTAATATTAGTCGAATGAACAATGGAAAAGATAGATGAATTTCAAGCGGGGCTGACTCAACTACAAGGAAAGTAAACATGGATAAAGATGTGAATTAAAGAATATACGAGGCCAGTCATTCAAGCAGACATTACAATCCTCAATGTGGATATGTCAAAACAGTGAGGCTACAATTGAAAGGACTGCAGGAGAAATAGATGTTCCACTATTATATATTATAGTTGGAGACTTCAATACCCCTTTACAAGAAATGGAAAGTTCTGGAACAGCAGGCAGTAAATTACTGAGGACATAGTTAAATAACAGTACCATCAATCAAGTGAATATAACTGACACCTACATACTACTTTATCCAATGATAGATGAATACACATTTTCAAGCTCACATGGAATAGTCATTGAAAAAAGACCACACTCTTTGCCATAAAACATTTCTTAACACATTTGGATAGTGGCAATTATTGTACAACACTGTTTATATTCTAAACCCCACATAATTGCATAATTTAAAAGGGTGAATTTTATGTTATGTAAATTTTATCTCTATTTTTTTTAAAAAGTGAAAAAAGAAGGAAGTAGATATGTTAGGCAGCCAGGCTGTGAAACCTCTGAGCAGAATTCCCCTCACTGTGGCTCTTCCCTAGGATGAGAATGAAAACAAAGCCAAAGAAGAGTGGGAAAGTCATGTAACTTTGGGAAGGCTGTACGCTGAAAAGAGTTATTCGTGATTAGAAAATGATGTCCACAGGAACAAAAAGGTAGGTGTTCATGTTTACAAACAGAAGCCTTCCTTCATTTGAATGGCCAAAAGTGGCCCAGAGGAGGAGCACCTAGACTAACAGTCACCCACGTATATGGCAGAAGGCAGGGTCCATCAACTAGCAGTATCTGAACTTGAGCTATGTCTTTAAGATAACTATAGAAGTGTCATCACATAGCCAACTGCAGCCTATTACTGGGTTATAAAATCAATTTAGTATGTTATTGTCATAATTTTAAAGGGGAACTCTAAACATGGGATTATATATGAATGAAATAAAATATATACTGAGGCACAGGGAGTCAGGCATTGTTCATTGGTTTCAGTTATAGATATGTATATTTGTACAAGGTGAAAATAGAAAATATTTTTTGTGAATTCCAGTTCAAAAACTATTCTGAAAAACAATACCCTATAATTGTAAAGTTTTATGCTGCACATTATTAACTTCTTCAGTAAATAGGGTAAAAAGATTATACTTTTATTAGCTGATACATAGGCAAGACATGACATCTAAAGATATATTACATGGCTGAGTGTGGTGGCACACACCTGTAATCTCAGCAGCTCGGAAGCCTGATGCAGGGTGACTGGAAGTTCAAAGCCAGCCTCTGCAGCTTAAAAGCCTATGCAATCTAGCAAGACCCTATCTCAAAATAAAAAATAAAAATGGAGGCTAGGGTTGTTTCTCAGTGGTGTGTGCTTGCCTAGCACGTGTGAAGCATTGGGTTTTATCCTCAGCACCACAGAAAAATAAATAAATAAAATAAAGGTATTGTGTCCATCTAGAATCAAAAATATTTTTTAAAAGTAAAAAGGGCTGGAGGATTTGGACTGGTGGTTAAGCACCCCTGAGTTTAATTCATGGTACCAAAGTAAGTAAATAAATAAATAGATATGTTACATGAAATGACTATAAAATAAATTACTGGAATTTAAAAAATATTCATGTGATTATTATTTTTCTACTAACATTTCTATTATTGGATTCACATATATATGTATGAAATAAAAAGTGTGAACCTAATTCATTTCTAAAATTTGTGCTTTTTATCATCATCAAAGCCCAAAAGCTTGCTTACAACTGGGAAAAATTCTAACATATTTATTATCTCTTGGCTTAGTCATTTATAGCTGCTATAACAATAATATACACTAGGTGGCTTAAATACAAAACAGATGTTTCTAAGTTCTAAAGGCTGATATAGCTATCATCAAGGTGCTAGAAGACTTCATAATGGCTGCCAATCTAACTGGAGTGAGATGGTATCTTAGGGTGGTTTTGATTTGCATTTCTCTGACTGCTAGAGATGGTGAGCATTTTTTCATATACTTGTTGATTGATTGTATGTCCTCCTCTGAGAAGTGTCTGTTCAGGTCCTTGGCCCATTTGTTGATTGGGTTGTTTGTTCTCTTATTGTCTAATTTTTTGAGTTCTTTGTATACTCTGGATATTAGGGCTCTATCTGAAGTGTGAGGAGTAAAGATTTGTTCCCAGGATATAGGCTCTCTATTTACCTCTCTTATTGTATCTTTTGCTGAGAAAAAACTTTTTAGTTTGAGTAAGTCCCATTTGTTGATTCTAGTTATTAACTTTTGTGCTATGGGTGTCCTATTGAGGAATTTGGAGCCCGACCCCACAGTATGTAGATCATAGCCAACTTTTTCTTCTATCAGACGGCGTGTCTCTGATTTGATATCAAGCTCCTTGATCCATTTTGAATTAACTTTTGTGCATGGCGAGAGAAAGGGATTCAGTTTCATTTTGTTGCATATGGATTTCCAGTTTTCCCAGCACCATTTGTTGAAGATGCTATCCTTCCTCCATTGCATGCTTTTAGCCCCTTTATCAAATATAAGGTAGTTGTAGTTTTGTGGATTGGTTTCTGTGTCCTCTATTCTGTACCATTGGTCCACCCGCCTGTTTTGGTACCAGTACCATGCTGTTTTTGTTACTATTGCTCTGTAGTATAGTTTGAAGTCTGGTATCGCTATACCGCCTGATTCACACTTCCTGCTTAGCATTGTTTTTGCTATTCTGGGTCTTTTGTTTTTCCATATGAATTTCATGATTGCTTTCTCTATTTCTACAAGAAATGCCGTTGGGATTTTGATTGGCATTGCATTAAACCTATAGAGAACTTTTGGTAATATCGCCATTTTGATGATGTTAGTTCTGCCTATCCATGAACAGGGTATATTTTTCCATCTTCTAAGATCTTCTTCTATTTCTCTCTTTAGGGTTCTGTAGTTTTCATTGTATAAGTCTTTCACCTCTTTTGTTAGGTTGATTCCCAAGTATTTTAGTGCTGGCAAGGATGTGGGGAAAAGGGTACACTTGTACATTGCTGGTGGGACTGCAAATTGGTGCAGCCAATTTGGAAAGCAGTATGGAGATTTCTTGGAAAGCTGGGAATGGAGCCACCATTTGAGCCAGCTATTCCCCTTCTCGGTCTATTCCCTAAAGACCTAAAAAGAGCATGCTACAGGGACACTGCTACATCGATGTTCATAGCAGCACAATTCACAATAGCTAGACTGTGGAACCAACCTAGATGCCCTTCAATGGATGAATGGATAAAAAAAATGTGGCATTTATACACAATGGAGTATTACTCTGCATTAAAAAATGACAAAATCATAGAATTTACAGGGAAATGGATGGCATTAGAGCTGATTATGCTAAGTGAAGCTAGCCAATCCCTAAAAAACAAATGCCAAATGTCTTCTTTGATATAAGGAGAGTAACTAAGAACAGAGTAGGGTCGAAGAGCATGAGAAGAAGATTAACATTAAACAGGGATGAGAGGTGGGAGGGAAAGGGAGAGAGAAGGGAAAATGCATGGAAATGGAAGGAGACCCTCAGAGTTATACAAAAGTACATACAAGAGGAAGTGAGGGGAAGGGGGAAAACAATATAAGGGGGACAAACGAATGTCAGTAGAGGGAGCAGAGAGAGAAGAGGGGAGGGGAGGGGAGGGGAGGGGGGATAGTAGAGGATAGGAAAGGCAGCAGAATACAACAGACACTAGTATGGCAATATGTAAATCAATGGATGTGTAACTGATGTGATTCTGCAATCTGTATATGGGGTAAAAATGGGAGCTCATAACCCACTTGAATCAAATTGTGAAATAGGATATATCAAGAACTATGTAATGTTTTGAACAGCCAACAATAAAAAATTAAAAAAAATAAATAAATAAATAAAAAATAAAAATTAAAAAAAAAAAAAAGATGCTAGAAGATTTGTTCTGGTGAGGACCCCTTTGTGGTTTGCAGACAGGTCTTTTTTGCTGTATCTTTACATGGTAGAGACAGAGCAGAAGAAATTTCTCTCCCTGATGAGTGTTTTAATAAGGGTACTAATACCATTAAGGGAGTTCTACACTTATGACCTCATCTAACACCTAATGACCTCCCAAAGCTCCCACTTGGAATAACCATTACTTGGGGACTAGGGCTTCAACACATGAATTTGGAAGACACACACATTTAGTTCTTAGCCTTCTTATCTGGAAGAGTTGTATCTCTCCAACTTGTTATATTGATTGGATAAATATTTATTAAATTCCTGACACTGAAGATAAATATGTGGGTATTTCTTCTTTGGATCATATGAAATGGATATTTTGGTGATCTACAAAAGAATTAGACACTTCAAATTTCCCAACACAAGTTTGCTCATAGCAGATAGTATATATTAAAGAGTTTCAAAGGTGTAAGGAAATGATGCATCTATCGTTTCATAGATTCATTGTAAAAAGATAATTCAAATAGTAAATTAAAAGAATATCCTTAATGACCCACATCCATCCCAATAGACAACCTGTGTGATTCCATATATAGAAAACTATAGGACATAAAATTGATCTCTTGACAAAAAATCAGTGGTTGCCTGGAGACAGGCATAATGAGGGAAGGGTGGCTGGCAGACACAGAACTGAGAATATGACATCCTGGCAATGTAATCCTAATAATATTTAAGAGTATCTGGTTAATATAAAGGAACTTGTGGACTATCACTATAGAAAACAAACACATATGTCATTAATATTTTAACATTTTAAAATCTTATAACTAACTTATTGATATAACACTTGGATTATAAGTGGTTTACTTATAATTTATATTTACAAATTTATATTAAATTTATAAATTTAAATTTACTCTAGAATGGATAAAACCCTAGTTACCAGGAAAGAATCCATGTTACAATCACAGATTGCTAAGGAAGAGACTAAGCAACTGCCTTGTCAACACCCATTTAAGAGATGCCTATGTATCAGCTAATAAAAGTATAACCTTTTTACCCTATTTATTGAAGAAGTTAATAATGTGCAACATAAAACTTTCCAGTTATAGGGTATTGTTTTTCAGAATAGATTTTGAACTGGAATTCACAAAAAAATGCTCATTATACTCTATAGAGAGAAATATATATATATGACCCACATTATATACATATATATATATATATATATATATATATATATATATATATATATATATATATATATATAATTTATATATATGCCAGTACAGGAGAAGCTCAATGTTCTTTCTTTAAGAAGGGCAAATCATTCCTTTCAGACTAAGAGGAAATTATTACATAGGCCTCAAAGGCTACTACAAAACATAAACATGAGGATTGAAGGAAAATCCATCTACAAAGATGCCAAAAGGATGAAATCAAAATAGTTTCTGTACTTTCTTGCTATTTTGTGAACCTCATGTGTGCTAGTCCACCATGTGCTCTTGTTCAGATCTATGAACTCACTTGAGCCAGGCATTATATCTTACCATGGGTGGAAGTGTCAGGGTCTCCTGAGCACTGCTAGCCTTCAGATCTGGATAGAAGCTTCTGCAGGCATCATGACCCACATCATAAACTGTCTTCCTCAGACAACTGAAATGAGCTCAGTCACCAGATGAAGAGCAGTTCAGATGGAGACTGAATCCAGCGTTACTATGCTTTATGGGGAAAATATTTGCAAGGCACCACACTAGCACTGGGTCAGTGACCAATGGCACCGGAACAATTGGATAGTGATTATAAGCAGAATGTACAATGGACTTCTCACCAGGGTCATTTTCGCCCTCTTTCCACATCCATCCTATCAAAATAAAATTGAAAGGAATAAGAAGTGGCCCAAATTCATACAGTCACTGATGATCCCACAGTAACCACACAGGTCACCCTGCCTGGGGCAAGGAGAGTCCCACATTTCTTTCCCTCTCGAGTCAGCAGAGCACCAAATCCCAGAGAAGGAAAGAAGTGACTTGGGACTGGGGTCACTTCATATCCACACACCCCAGTAGGGTTCAGCTGCCATTACGGTGTACCCACACCCTCCACTGAATCCAAACACCTGGAGGCCTGATACTGCTCTTATACTAGAGCAAGTCCTGCTTAACATGGTCACCAAAATGACATCATGTATCTATGGCAACTGCAGGTTTGTCCTAAGCACCACAAATGCCTTTGCACAGGCCTCCTCTTTGTCCCCTTTCCTTTCTCTGAAACAAAACACCTTCAACTTCAGGACACCTGAGAAAGTACACTAACTAGAGGAACTAGGCTCAGACTCAGGCAATGGGAAAAACTCTGCCCAGCTTAGTGGAACAAAGAATATCCCTGTTGTCAACAGTACCCTCATTAGGAGAAATGGAAAGACCCAAAAAGGTAAAAAATCAATAAGGTCACAGTGGAATTCATAAACATTATTAGTTCCCTGGACATCGTTGGTATCTATCTGTAGAATGCAGATGGTTTCTAACTTAAAATGCTTTCGCCTCTGAATTTGACTGATGGTCCGGAGGCATACCCGTACAATCATTCTGTTTTTGTTTTTATTCTTTTACCTTCAGTACAGTATTCAATAAAACTACATGAGATTTTCAAAACCTTATCATAAAACAATTTTTAATAGATGGTTTTGCTAAACCTTAGGCTAATATAACTTCACTGTATATATTTAAGATAGCTAGATAAATCAGGCACGGTGGTGCATGCCTGAAATGCAAATGTCTACGAGGCTGAGGGAGGACAATCACAATTTCATGACTAGCCTCAGAAACTTAGCAAGCCCTAAAAAACTTACTGAGACCCTATCTCAAAATAAAATTAAAAGGGACTGGGAGTATAGCTCAGTGTTTAAATGCCACTTGATTCAATCCCCCATAATGAAAAAAGATGCCTAGACAAAGTTATGATATTCAGTCATTTAGCTATATTAATGCATCTTAGATTTCGGATTGTTTCAGCTTATGGGGGCTTATTGGGATATGACCCCATTATAAATTTTAGAACACTTATACTTTATCCAAAAATAGCAGATTATACATTCTTCTCAAGCTCACATGAAATATTCACTGAAGCAGACCATATCTTGGGACATAATACACCATAACAAATTCAATAGTGTGATGTGTATACAAAACTGTACAATTTTAAATGATTAAAATGTTATGTTATATGCATTTCCTCTCAATTTTAAAAATGTGCGAAAACAGAAGGAAGCAGTATCAGTAGCCAAGTTGTGAACAAACTCTAAGCAGAAATCCCCTCATTGTAGCATTGTCCTGGAATCACAGGACACTGTGTAGAAAGGTATTACTGTTTCCAAGTGGAAGACGTGCATGATAGTCCAAAGTAAAATATATTCTTGTGAATTCTAACCTCTCCCCCAAAATCTGAAACATGTAATCTATAATAGCTAGCAAAGGTTTCTGCTGAAGACCGATACCATTAGAAATAAAATGATCTATTTAATAAATTCTTCAGTAATTAGGATACAAATTTACATTTTAGTGAATAATGAGAGAAATTACATCTAAATATTTGTGGTGCATGGAATACTGCTTTTTAAATTACTGAAATGAAAATATTCATTGATTATGATTTATTAATCTATTTTCTTACTTTTGGTATTAAATGTGTAGTACAAAAAATATCTGGGACCCATGCCAATGCTTTGGTTTGATTTTTATCATCATAAAATCCCAAAATCTTGCTTTACAACAGGGAAAACTATTGATATTATTATTGTCCCTTGGACCTCATGCTAGTGTGCATTTACTGCCTACTTGCAGCATCCTCATGTGGCTGAGTGACAGATAACTCATATCCATGTTCTTATAAGGCTACCTTCATGGCCTCATCTAAACTTACAGGGAATACATTCAAATAATATCCCATGGGAATTAGGGCTACAACATATCAAAATTCAGGGATGGGAACAAATACATTCTCTCCACATATTATCTTTTTTTGAGGAAAGTTTAATAATTCCAAAGTGTTTTATTCATTTGTAAAATATTTATTATAATCTCAAATTTGAAGATAAACCCATTAAGTGTTTTTCCTTCAGTATATGTAAAATGGATATTTAGATGTTTCACAAAAGAACTGGGAATGTCTGTGTTTCTTGCATACAAATCTTCCTGTAATGGATAGTATGTACTGTGTATTCAAGAAATACTTTTTCAAATATTCATAAATAATGCTGCTGCTGTTTCATCTGTTCATGGCTAAGACAATTTTAAAAGCTAAAACAAATATGTAAGCTAAATAAAACAAGGCCAATCAAAAAATAGGAGCCATCTGATTCCATTTAAATAATATATAAGAAATCAAAACTAATCTGTTAACATCAGTGTTTCCCCAGGCTCAGCATAATGAGGGGAGAATGCTCTGGAAATGTGATGTTCTGGGAAAATAATCATAATAGTACTTAAGAGAACCTGGTCATTTGAAAGATGTTACTGGGTATCACTATAATAGGGCAAACACAAAAGTAATTGTTACTTTAAAATTTTTAATTTCTCATAAGTGACATTTTAAATTCATTCTTGGGGCAGTTTTGACTTAAAAATAATCATTAAACAATGGATAAAACTATACTGACAATTTCAAATTTCTACAAGGACCTTCCTTGTCATCAACTACATATTTCTGCACACATATGAGAGATACGTGAGATTTGTTGAAAACATAGTTATTGCATATGTGTGTTAAGCAGCAAATTCCTTACAGAAATATCCATTACTTTGTGACAATGAAACTCATCACTAATATGGCCTCAAGGACTACTATGAAGCATGGCAGCTTCTGAAGGCCAATTCCAACTGCTAAACCTCTTTATGGATAAGATCAAAGTAGCTTCTTTATTTTCTGGCTATTTTGTGAACCTTATGTGTGCTATTCTACAATATACTCTTTTTAATTTTTTTGTTTGTTCCTTTTAGTTAGACCACATACTCTTTGTTCAGAGTTATGAAATCACTTAAGTCAGGCATTATCTCTTACCAGGATGGAAGTGTTGAAGGTCTCCTGAGCACGCTGCCCTTCAGATCTGGAGAAGACATTTCAGCAGCCCTCATGACCCACATCCGGAGAAACTGTCTTCTTCAGACTCTTGATAGGAGCTCAGTCACCAGAGGAAGAGCTGTGCACTGGGACAGAATCCAGAAATTACTATGCATTTTTGGAGTAACCATATCCTTGGAAACATGCTAGGCAATGAAATGAGCATTCGTGAGCCCACGATATCCACAGAGCAATGGGGCTTAACATGTGTGTTATCCCTGAAGGTCCCCGCAGTCCTGTGGCTGAGCACTCTTGCTCTCATTTTACAGAGGAGAGACTGGGTTACAGAGGGCCGTTCCCTTTCTTACCATCCAGCACCCCACCTTTACAAGGGACACCCTGGAGCAGGTCATCACGCTGTCTGGGGCCAGGAGGGCCCCACGTCTTTCTCCCTTTCATGTCAGCTCGGCAACGAGGCCCAGAGCAGGAATGAGGCAACTTAGGTCTGTGATCCCTTTGTGTCCCCACACTCCACGGAGGCTCAGTTCCTACCAAGAGGCACCCACACGCTCCACTGAGTCCAGATACCTAGAGGCAGGACACTTCTCCCAAACCACAGCAAGTTGGTCTCCTTCAGAATGTCATCATAGTCACCATAAGGACATCAGATTTCTATGGCAATCATGATGCTCAGTTTGGTGCGCCTTACCAGAAATGCCTCTTTCTAACATATATATAATTTATTTATCTTAATGTGGTGCTGAGGAAGGAACCCAGTGCTCACATGTGATAGGGGAGCACTCTATCACTGAGCCCCAGCACCAGCCCCCAGAAATACTGCTAAACAGGCCTCCTCTTTATACCCCTCACCTTTCTCTGAAAGCAAAACTCCTTCTTCGTTCTTCAGGCCACCACTTGAGAAAGTGCACTAATTAGAGGAGTTAGGCTCAGACACAAGTAATGGAGAGAACTCTGCACACACCCTCAGATGAGTCCAAACTCCTGAAGTAGGTCTAGGACACCCTGGCCCAGGGCACCACACTCCCTGATTCCACATCTCCCTCCCTTACCTGGCAGCTGAGCACTGAGTCCCAAAGCCAGAAGAAGGCACTAGTACAACTGGGTAGTGTTCAAAACAACAGAAGGTACAATGGGCTTCTCACCAGGGCCTTTTCCTTCTCTTCTACTCATCTCTCTTCCTCGAACAACAAATCTGAAAAGGAGTAAGAAGTAGCTAAATTCATACAGGTATTTATGATCCCACAATAACCACAAAGAACACATCATGCTTCCTGGGACCAAGAGGATCCCACATCTCTTTCCCTCTCCAATCAGTTGGGTCTTGTCTCCCAGCACAGGAACTAAGCTACATGCATCTGGGGTTCCTTTGTCTCCCCACACCCTAGGGAGGTTCAAACCCCACCATGAGGCACCCACACACTTTGCTGAGTCCAAACACCTGGAGGTGGTACCGTGCTCTTGAACAAGTTGGTAGCCTTTAGCATGTCCTCATAGTCGACATGATGTTGTCAGGTTACTATGGCAACCGTGATACACAGGCTACTTCTATACTCAGGATATGTTTTGCATAGTCCTATCTTCTGGACCTTCTTTCTCCTTTAAAGCAAAATAACTTCAGGCCACCTGAGAAAGCCTACTAGTTAGGTAGAGTATGTGGGGATGCACGCAATAGGGAGTGCTCTGCCCAGCTTGTTGGAAAAAAAAAAAAAACTGTGTGTTACTGGAATTTTATTGGCTTTAAATGAATTCACAATCCTGGAGGGTTGGTGGATAACTGTGATCTCAGCTACTATGAAGGCTGAGTAAGGAGAATCCAAAATTCAAAGGCAGCCTCAGCACCTTAGCCAGGCCTTAAGCAACGGAGTGAGATACTGTCTCAAAATTAAAAATAATGATAATAACATTGTGTCCAAGTGAGAACTCAATAACCTCCCTTTGAAGACATTGATGGTGCAGATGAAATACCAGTTTAGACTTCTGTAGGTGGTAATGGGACTAGTATGTGTGTCAAGGGTTTATGATTCCTGCCTCCTATTTATCTTCACTCTTCTTTCATTTGGGGATTAGTGGGAAACTATTTCCCTAACATCAAATTAGAATATCAAATAAGTGGACAGAAAATGATACGGAATAAATTAAATGGTTTAATCCTCTTTCTGGTTCTCAGGAAGGCCCTCCTGCAATACTGAGATGGCCCCAAGCTTGATTCATGATGTAAATGTGAATATTTGATGCTGCTTTCTGCTAAATTTCCCAGTAGTCTCCAGGGCAGGTGTGCTCTTTGGTTTGGATAACTGTAGTCACTTCTCTGGGAGAGGAGAAATTTAAGGCAGGACAAACATTGGCTGAAATCTAACTTCATACCATGTACTCTAAAGAGGATTTCTCACTGACACATTTTGTAAGGAGGGCATAGTGAGTCCCCTTTCACAAATGATCAAGTTTAGACCAATAATGGCTAAGGAAGAATTCCAGTGCCACACATCAAGTAGCAGGAATGGGATCACACAGTTACTCTCATTGAAATGTCACATGCATTCTCAACAGGATGATACTACACACAAGAGGCTTCAAACAGGTTCTCAGGGGTAGGGGGATGCTACATATTATAATGTTTTGCGACACTACAAAGAACCAGAACACAGAGTTAACAGTCCATCTATGATATAAACATTTCATATTCTGGGCAGTGTTGAGAGCCACAGCCGAAGGGGGTTTTTCCTGAAGAGCTGTGTGGTGTGGTGTGTGTGTTCTAAAAATAAAGTTCGTTTCTTTTGACAAGTGGCTTCTGAATTGTGCCCAGCCAGACTGCGGCAGGGCAGAATGTTTACAAAGATGAAAATGTCTAAATGGGGAGATAATAAAATGATGAAAAGTGTTATATCCCCAAAGACTTCACATTGATGATGGGCCACTAGGGCTTAATGATATTGGACAGAGAGTAAATCGAAATAACAGGTGTTTCCTCTAAACAGATGATCTGGAAGATAAGATTTAAATTTTTAAAACTAATATAACAAAATGATACCCTAAATATTATCTCCTCCAACCTGAATCTTTATTTAAGTAATTTGTTATTAAATCTATACTTCAGATTTGAAAAAAAAAAAAAAAGTGACGCAGGACTGATCACACACTTACCTGGGAATGAAAGTGGGTTTATTGTCAGGAGCCTTACAGAGCTGCTCTGTACAAAGAGAGGGACAGCAGCAGTAAGCGAGGGACAGCAGTAGCAACTCCCCCTTGAATGTTACCTTTTGTAGGCTAGAATCATGGTCGCGCACCAGGGGCAGGTTTAGTGTTGACGGATATAGTAAGCATCCCCTGATCTTGTGGAAGGCAAGTTTGTTTCTTGGGAACAGAGACAGGCAGTTTTCCTATCTCTCAGAGGGGGAACAGGGAAACCAGAATGTCCCCATCTCAGGGGCCAGTAAGTTGTCTCCTATCCCTCAATGAGAGAACAGGGAGAGACAGCATGTCTCCAGGCGGATAGGTTTTATCTCGGGCTACTTTCGATATCTTGGGAATGAGAACAGTATTCATAAAGTGGATGTGGGAGAAAGGAAGATGGCTGTAATTATGGTAACAAGATTGGGTTGTGGGAAGTTGGGAAAGCTCAATTCAATCATTAAAACTGTGTTGTTGATGCCTGCTCAGTAGTGGAGCCTGGAATCTCACTAAAGCTTTGTGTCCCGATGCTGCCAAGAATCTGAGTGCTCTGATCTCCCTGGAAAAGCACATTCCAGGATGCATCACAAAAATCAGGATGCTGGCCTTTCCTTCAAGTGAAATGACACAACCCATAAAATAAGAGTGCATAAATCCAAAGTGATAAAAACAAATATCTGAGTTAATAAAGAAATGGGAAATAAGAGACAAACTAGCTTCATCCAATAATGCCAGATAACATATGCAGCTACCTGCCCTCCATATTAATTCTCATCCCAACTCCTGAGGGGAGAACTGACTTAGTGACTCACTTGTGAAGACAACAGTAAGCAGATAGAACACAGTCACTGTCCACTTGAGAACCTTGGCAAACATCACCTTAACCAAGTGATGAAGGTTAGCATCACCAGCGATTTTATGTGAATATCCTGTCCTCCCAGAGAGAATGTGATGAGGAGGCACTTCACATCTCTGATATTTCCCCTTAAAACCCATGGTCTAAACAGGAGGAAAACAACAGACTAAGTTGGTGATCCTCAAGGCTGCCAAGGTCATGAAAACCCTCTGGCAGTGGTTCTCACCATTAAACAGGGAGTTTTCATGTGTCATCAATTGCACTCCTAGGCAAACAACCAAAATAAATGAAAACCCATGTCTACATATAAACTGACACAGGAACGTATGTAGCATCATCATCTTTCATAACAGCCAAAAAGTGGAAATAACCCACGTGTTTTCCTCTTCATAAATGGACAAATAAAATGGAGTACTATATTTTTCATCAATTAAAGGAATGGAATACTAATATGTTATAATAGGGATGAACCGTGAAAACAGGTGAAGAAGCAAGAAGCAAAAGACCAAGCATTGTGTGGTTCCATTTGTATAAAATGTATGGAATATGCAAATCTGGAGACACAGACATGCATTTCTTGGGGCTGAGGTTAGGATCAGGGTTTAACTGTGTTGAGAATGATGCCACATTATAGGGTGATGGAAATATCTAACACTCTGTTCCTCAACTTTATACCAAAAACCATCAAGCTGTACCTTTAGAAGGAGTACATGGATAATTATATTGTTTTTAAATTATACTGCAAGAAATCTGTTAAAAATACAATATTGGTGTGAGCTTCTGTTGTATTGCAAAACACTCAAACTTTGTTCTTACCATGTTTTGATGCACATGTATTTGATAAACATGAATATAAATAAAACTGCGGCTGTATCCTACCCTGCTGACTCAATGACCTGTGTAATTCCAAGCAATGACTGTCCCCTCTCCCTCCCACCACCCATGTTCCCTTGGGTTGCTCATTTGTATAAAAGCCAACTTACACCTCATCACTTCCATGTGCAGCACAGGTTTGACAGGGGGTCCTCTACAGGGTCCAAGGCCTGTCCTCTGTGACAGACTATCAGCATTGTTACTTTCCTTACTCCTCCACAGCTTGGGAAGTCCAAGCAGCACCAACTTTATGAATGTCAGGATGGCATCACTTATTAGAGGGCTCCAAAGGTGCACACTCTTTGCACCAACATTTTCTCTTTCTGAAGTTGATATTCAGGATGAAATGAAGAATGTCAATAAGGCTCAGGTTATAAGGATGCCATGATGAGAATTCCCTTCCTTGACTTCTGTACCTGAGTGCATGAAGGGAGTCCAAACAAGACACAAAGCCATGAATGGACAAAAAGAAGACTAGTGTGTGTGTGCACACATACCCCCCACACACACACATACACACACACATACATATGGCACACACATGCACCTATTGAAGCCAAGTTCTGTTGTCATATTCAAATTCTCCAAGACAGTTTGCTGCTCTCCACATTCATCTCACCTTACAATCAGTGGTGTAAACTGAACCAGAAAATGTGCCTTTTAGCAATGTCACTCTGAAAACGCCACACACACAGGGTTGACAACAGGGACTATCAAAACACTCCAAATATCACAGTTTGAACATTGATTATTTACTTCCACAGGATGGAATTCTAGAAGGTAGCAAAAACAAGTCATAACAATGATGTAAGATTCCTTCACTATCAGATTAGCGATGATTCCCATTATCCCTCATGTGTGGGGAAATAGGTACTTTAATGCTTCCAGTTTAGAATATAACTGAGTAAGAGTATTTAGAAGTCATTTTGATAATAGAAATGCTTACAAATATAGTTGCATAAATGTATATATGTATATGTATTATGGGTTATCTTTGCATGTGTGTATATTATATATATATGTAAATATATATAGTGTTAGCATAATATATATTACATATATAATATATATTATATATGTTATAAATATTATTATATATAATATACATATTACATATATAATAATATATGTTACATATACAATATATATATTACATATATTATATGTAATATATATTACATATAATAACCACATAATTACATCATTGCTATCATTATGATTATATATATATATATATATATATATATATATATATATATATATATATATATTCTTATTTCTCACAGAAAAACTGGTAAAGGAACTAAATTTTCAGTACTTTGATACTAATGAAATTTGGGGGCATCCACACAGAGAAACACCCAGTGAAAGGGGGAAAATACCTGAAATTTTGTTGAAACTTTAAAATGCAATCATATAAATGATTTTCCTGGAAAGATACCCATATTAAGGGAAACTTTGCATTTCAGAGATCATAATTGGAGAGTAACCTTTTTAAATTGTTTTTGTAGTTTGTTCTAATTGGTTATACATGACAGTAGGATGCATTTTGACACATTGTACACAAATGGAGCACAACTTCTCCTTCCTCTGGCTGAACATGGTGCAGAGTCACACTGGTAGTGTAATCATACATGTACATAGGTTAATTATGTCTGTCTCATACCACTGTCCTTCCCATCCCTACAGTCCCTCCCTCCCCTCACTCCCCTCTGCACAATCCAATGTTCCTTCATCCTCCTCCACATAATGGATTAGCATCTGCTTATCAGAGGAAAAAAATTTAGATTTTGGGGTTTGGCTTATTTCACTTAGCATGATATTCTCCAGCTACATCCATTTACCTTAGCTAAACTATGGAACAAACCTAGAGGTCCTTCAACAGATGAATGGATAAAGAAAATGTGGTACACATACATAATGTAATATTACTCAGCCATAAAGGAAAATAAAGTTATAGCATCCGCTGGTAAATGGATGTAAATGGAGACGACTTTCATGGTAAGTGAAATAAGCCAATCCCCAAAAATCAAAGGTCAAATATTCTCTCTGATATGTAGACGTTTACACACAATAAGGGTGAAGGATAGAAAAACAGAAGTTTATCAGGTTAGACAAAGGGGAATGAAGGGAAGGGAAGTGAGATGGGAACAGGAAAGATAGTAGAATGTATTGGACATAACTTTCACATGTTCATATGTGAATACATGACCAGTGAAACTCCACAACATGTACAATGACAAGAATGGCATCCTAATTAGAATAAGTTTACTCCATGTATGTATAATATGTCAAAGTACACTACTGTCATGTGTATCTAAAATGAACAAATAAAAAATAAATAAACATACACCCCCCCCACAAAACACCCTAAATAACATAGTGTTGTAAAGTATATTATTTTTTTTCCATAGGCTAGAATTCTACAAAGCAGCAAAGCAACTAATAATAACAACAATGATGTAAGATTCCTTTACTATCAGATTAGCTATGAATCTATTATCTCTTACGTGTGGAGAAATATGTACTTTTATGTTCACTGTTAGGAATATAAATTAGTCAGAGCATTTAGAAGTCATTGTGTTAATAGAAATGATTATGAATATATTAGCCTAGGCGTACATGCATATATAGTGTGTGCATGTGTATATGTAGTGTTAATAGCATGTCAGTTATGCTATTATTTGTCATAGAAATATTGCATAAGGAAATAAATATTCATTACTTCCGTACTAATGAAATTCTGGGCATCCACAATGAAACACACAAAGCGGGGGAGAAGCCTGAAATTTTGTTGAAGATTAAAAATGCAATCAAAGAAATATATTTTCCTGGAAAGATACCCATATTATGGAGAAAATTGTGTTACAAAGATCATAATTGGTATAGAATCTTTTTTGTCTGTATATCTCCACCTATTTATCCAGAAGTTTCAATGCCCCAAAACAGGATCTTTTTGATTTTCTCACATAGAGCTTCTCCTCCCGGTAATGATACACTTCACTTTCTATCTGGAGGCCCTCAATATCCCTACACACTGGAAATTCCCCTTTTTATACACAAACTTCCAGAAATCTCTGTAGGATATGTTTGGCCAGAGCCAGTCTCTCTTGCTTTCCTTCCTCCTCAGCTGTTTCCAAGATGCAGTTCAAGATTCTGTCACAAGATGGCAATAACACACCTGCATTATGGAAAATAATAACTCACTTAAATCCCAGCTTGTGAACCTATAAACAGTGATTCTAATTCTTTTTTCTTTTCTACTTTCTTTCTTTCTTTTATGGTACTAGGGATTCATCCGAGAGATTCTTAACCACTTAGCCCTATACCCGGTCCTTTTTATACTTTATTTTGAGATGGGGTCTTGCTAAATTGCTGAAGCTGGCTTTGAACTTGTAATCCTCCTCATATTTAAGTAAAACTATAACTCAGTTTCTCAGTGACACTCATCATGATTCGTGGGCTAAACAGCCACAGGTAGCCAGTGAAAATCACCTTGTACATTTTGGATACAGAAGGTTCAGATAGAGAACACTTTCATTTCTGAAGAAATTTCCATTGGATAATGCTCAAGTAGTAGAATATGCCACGTTTCAGCAGGGCATGCCTGTAAATCCAGTGGCTTGGGATGCTAAGGGAGAAGTATCACAAATTTAAAGCCAGCCTCAGCAACTTAGTGAGGCCCTAGGCAACTTAGCGTGACCCTGTCTCAAAAAAAGAGGGGTGGGGACTGGTGATGTAGCTTGGTGGTTAAGGGCCCCTGGGTTCAATCCCCGGTATAAAAAAAATAGAATATGCCACCAATCACCTGTGAATAAAGAAAACTAATATACATACTATATTTGATTATCTTATTAAAAATTGGACAGTTGAAATCAAAGCTGCAAAAAATGATTACCTGCAGCCCAGGATGGTAGCAGATGATGTCCACTTTCTTACAAACATAATAGACACTCACTGGTTATGAGCTCTGAAAAGGATAAGAAACAATGAGCAACACAGGAGCGATGAGCAGTTTGAGGACCCTGACAATATCCTCTAAACCATTTCCCACTAAAAGGAGCCAAACCCTGTGGGGAAATGGCTGACTCTGACTCTATGTAAAACTCACATACCATCCTAGATGAGTGTGGACCAAACTATCACACTAGAGATTCTATCACAAAGACTAGGTAAGAAAGCTGAAATGGTTCCTACCAGACAAACATTTCATTTTGAACATAACAGAAAATAATGAACACAATGAATTAAAACACATCAAATACATAAGCATGTATTAGTTGATGATGTTACTAGTAACACAATAAAAATTGAAACACACAAAAACAAGCTCAATATTCACCTTTGGAGGACTCTGGGGGAAAACAAATTTTTAAAAATTTTACTGCATTGTAGTTATACTTAATAGTGGTGTTCATTTGCACATATTCATGAACGCATCAAACAGTTCTCTGCAGTTCAATCCCAGCATTATCCCCTTTTCATGCCTCCTCACTCCCCCAAGCCTGTTCCTTTACTCTATTGTCCTCCTTCAATTGACTTATTTATTTTAATTGGTGCATTACAATTACATATAAAATTGGAATGCATTGTTATATATTCATGCATGTTCATGGCATAATTTGGTCAACTCTATTCCCCAGTTCTTTCATTTTCTTCTCTTCCTCTTAACCCTTACTCCCCTGATTAAAATCTACTGTGTCTCCTTCTCTTTTCTAAATACACAGGCACTTAGGATCACAAAAAAACCACACGGGACAACATGTTAACTGGGTCTAGCAGGGTCCCACATCTCAGTGGGGCAGTGAGTCCCCAGGAACAAGACGACTTGGGTCTGGGATCCCTTCATCTCCTCACACCCCAAGGAGGCTTAGCTCCCACCCTGGGAACCCCACACCATCTGCTGAGTCCAAACACCTTGAGGCTAGACACTGCTCCCAAACCAGAGCAAGTCAATCTGTCACAGTCGCCAAAATGAAGTCAGGTTTCTATGGCCACTGGAACACACAGGCTGCTCCTGTACTTAGGAAATGCCTTCTATGAAATCTTTCCTTTTGTCTCTTTGTCTTTCCCTTAAAGCAAAACACTGTCACCCTTCAGGATACCCCAAAATTAGAGGACATTGGTGGGATCCTGGCAATTGGAAGCGCTCAGTCCAGGTTGTTGGAACAATGTATGTCCTTGTGAGCAGCGATAGTATCAACTTTAAAAATGACTTTAGAGTATCATCAGTATACAGACAAACTGGGGTGGATGACTCCTAGGGCTCTTGGAGTTGAGCTAGCCTTCTGAGAGGAACATGTAAAACTCACATACCATCCTATGTAGTTTGCCATCTATAGCAGAAACTCAGAGGCTGTCCATAGTCATGGGTCTAAATGAACTAGGAACACCAAAAATGACATTCGAGTTATATCTGGGATGCAGATCTATAATGACATATGCATTTATTGGGTAGAATCCTAGTCAAATCAACCATACAATAGTTTATTCTGGGGAATTCT